TTCCCAATTATCTCCAGCATAGAAGACTCTGTGGAACTGGTTTTGGGCAGAAAAGCCATGTTTCATTTGGTCACAAAGGACTTCGATCTATCTTTTGAACCACTGGACCAATTTGTATGATTTTGAGGTATGTTTGTATTTGGAGTATGCTGATTCTGAAAATGTGAATGTGATGCATACTTTTAAAGTTATGAATAATATGGAAAAACTGTATCTCTCTGCCTGTGATAATTACATTACCCATTGTGTAAGGTTATTGTATCACAGGCAGGATTGTATCACAGGGGAGGATTTTGTGTGGGAGTGTCTGAGTGTATTGTACGTGTTTATTGGTTGTTTTCCAAAACCCTGTGGGTGGTACTAATGTGTAAGAATGTGTATATAAGGCCAATAAACCCACAGCTCTGTCTGTTCCTGCTTGACCCTCAAAACGGAGCCTTGTCTCGTTCTTGGGGGGATTTATTGTATGCTGTTCCAGTTCGACTGCTAGGAGTGTAAACCTATTCGTATGGTTTTTCCTATTCATCTGTTTACGGCATTCATATGGTTTCCTGCTCGGCGGATTGGTGTCTTTGGTAGCTGCCTGTATATCTGGAAGAATATCTACTAAACGGCTTTAACCCCTTTTATGCCTGGGGGTGCCGTTACAATAGACAACTATTACAATGCACACAGTCATTGATGCTAAAGGGGGCAATACACAGTATTAAGAACAAAGGTTATGCAGACTTTTGAACAGGGGTCATTTCATTTTTTTCTTTGTTGCTATGTTTTGTTTTATGATTGTCCCATCCTTTTATAACCTACAGTTGAATATGAATCCCATAAGAAATAAAAGAAATGGGTTTTGCCTGGCCTACTCATGTTTCCTTTAAAAAGGGTATATTACCAATTCTCCAAGGGAGTGCAAACTTTTGAGCACAACTGTAGTGGCTTATAGTAACAGTGGCTGCAAAGCAGGCATGTGTTACCATTATGAGTAGGAATAAAAAAAAAAGAGTGAAGAGCCAGCCATTTAAAGGTACTATTGTCACCCAACTATAGTCTCCCAGAGCACTTAAACTAATTTAAGTAATCTGGGTGCAATGACCCTGTCCTATTTAGTCCTGCAATGTAAATTATTGCACTTTGTGAGAAACTGTAATAATTAACATGCAGGATGAAGACTGCCTCCAGTGGCTGTCAATCAGACAGCCAGTAAAGGCCCTCCCTGGATGCTAGTGGACTCTGAATCCCGCAAATGACGCTGGACATCTTCACGCTCTGCATGAGTACATTCAGCTTCAGTGAAGTCCCCGTAGGAAAGCATTGAAGCAATGCTTTCCTAAGGGGAGGACCTAATGCACTCGCCGCACATGTGCATTTACCCACCCCAGTCAGATGATGTCGGCTTTGTATTCCTAAAAATATAAATTCCCTCTAGAACCATAAGGTTGGAGGCAATTGTACAAGTTCTGAACAAACACAATACCTGTAATTTGAGCTATATGTCTGTTCAACCATAATTTACCTATTTCATATTAAGTGCACCCACACTTATTATATATCCTTTTGTTCAGGAGGTATGGGACTTTTATTTCACATACATCATTTATATATGGAACAAATTAAAATTAATAAACGTTAATGAAGTGTGAAAATTTAAGAAATTTTATTTTCCAAGTTTTGCATAGCATTTTAACTGTGAATGTCATAATACTGTTAGCTTTTATTGCAATAAAACACACATTTGTGTTCAGAGATTTCTCATAGTACAATTGCACCACCCCCACCCCAAGTTAAGGTTTTATGGGTTTATGAGAATTTACAGGGTCAAATATAAGGCTTGCCCATATCACTTTTTACATATTGAAATTTGCCATGATTGGATTGCTGGGCATATGTCACCTTTGGGACCATATGGCAGTCAAGGAATGAAAATTAGCCCCATCATGGCATATCTATTGCCAAATCCTGACATTTCCATCTCAAAAACATTTCACACATCCGCCCCTACTTAACGCCAGATGCGGCTAAGGTGTTGGTCCATTCCACTTCCCTTTCTTGCCTTGACTACTGTAACCCGCTTCTCAGTGGTCTTACGTGCTCCCAACTTGCGCCGTTACAGTCCATAATGAATGCGCAGCGAGGCTAATCTTCCTGTCTGTCCGCACCTCCCATGCCTCACCCTTCTGTCAGTCCCTACATTGGCTTCCTATAAAATATAGAGCTCAATTTAAAATTCTGGTTCTTGCTTTCAAACCTCTACATAATGCTGCTCCCACCTATCTATCCTCCCTTATACACAAGTATGTCCCGTCTAGGCCCTTACGATCTGCTAAAGACTTACATCTATCTTCTGTCCGTACTCCCACCCCTGAAGCTCGCCTTCAAGATTTCATGAGGGCTGCACCATTCCTGTGGAACTCGCTTCCCTCCTCCGTTACATGCTCACCCAGTCTCCACTCCTTCAAAAAATCATTAAAAACCCACTTCTTCATAAAAGTGTATCAATTAAACTGTTAATAGCTCCAGACTGATTCCTCTTCTGCAACTGTCACTAGTCTAATACCATCCTTACCTTTTTGTGTCATTTTACCCCACTCACTCTAGCATGTAAGCTCATTGAACAGGGCCCTCAACCCCTCTGTTCCTGTGTGTCCAACTTGTCTGGTTACAACTACACGTCTGTTCGTCCACCCATTGTAAAGTGCTGCGGAATTTGATGGCACTATATAAATATTATAATAATAATAATAATAATAATATAATTTGCAAAAGTAAACAACCCATGGTATTCAAAATGGGTATGTTGAGTCTTTTTTTAGTAGCCAATGCAAACAAATATATAACTCCGGGGGGAAGTATTGGATAGAGGGTGGTGAAACACAAAGTGATACACAAAAGATACAACCTGGAAATCAGGATAACATGGTAGTGAAAATCTAGGAGTAAAAAGCTACATATAGTGAAATACGTTTGAATAATGATATAGCTCCAGGAGGTGAAAAACTTACAAGCTACGAGGCTAGGCTCGTGGCTGCCCAGAAGAGCCAGTGGATACCTGTGCATAAAAGAAGCCTGGCAGAGGTCAGTGCTTAAACCTTCAAAACTGTGTGTCCTCCTATTATTGGAGGGAAGGAAGATTTAACCCCTGTGTCTGCTGTTCCAGCTTGCAGGGGATGCAACGGGGAAAAGTCCTTGTAAGGACTAAGGGCTTCCAGGGCTGAGTGCCATCTCGGCCTGTGAGTGCATTAAGCTAACTCCCCTAACCATGCAATTGGATGAAGGAAGGGAACTAGCGGGAGGTATCCGGTTGGGTTACCCAGGTGTCCCGTTACAATGGTGGCAAGCAGCGGGATAATACTTCCCAGCCAAAAGGAACGAGCATGGTATTTGGTTGTCTTTGGGCCGAACCGCACTGAAAATACGGTACAGCACATGAGGAAACTAGCGGCAGAGTACCTGCAGCACCAAGCAGAATGGCAGGCAAAGGGGGAGAAGCGTGTCATCCTTCCTTCCCAGTGGCAGTGTGAGGTCCAGGGAGAGAAGTATTCCGTCCTTCCTCCCCAGCGGCAGTGTGAGGTATAGGGAACGGAGACAACCGGTCTCGTTCCCCAGTGGCAGTGTGAGTTATCAGGAGAGATAACCACGGGTACAGTGGGTGTCGTGGCTGGGATTCCGGTTGCCACGGGCACAGGCAGGTAGAAGAGTTGGCTCCTCTGACTCTCCCTGGAGCTGAGCCCAGAGATCTGGTATGGTCAGGTCAGTGGGTAGCGTGCAAAAGCCACCCCTTCCCTTAAGGATGCTCCAGCATCTGAGCAGAGCACACCCAGCGTCTCCTCTCCCCTTCCCCAGGAGCCATTTGTTGTGGAGGCTTGGGTGGGGGGTTGTACAGGTGCAACCTGTGGGCAGGAGCCTTTGATGGATGGCCTCTGTTTAAGTTAACTCCAGGAGGGTGCAACGCCGATATTACGGGCGCTCTACAGATCATTACAGGATTACCCTGTTTATTTTACCGTATACCCTGTTTCGGTCGTTATACTGTATAAAACTCATTCCACGAACAGTCAGGACAATGTATTCGCGCATACAAACGACGGACCACCTGGCCCTTCGCGTGTGCCGTCACTTAACCTTTTTCACCTTTAAAACAACCGAATGACCGACCTCACTATGAGAGGAGTGTGCTTCTAATTGACCACCGGGAAGCTGCGGTCTGCAGTTAACTACAAGCATAATTGACTGTCTCAGGGTAGCCTCGTTCGTGTAATAATTCACCAAACTGAAACTCACAAAAGACTCCCGAACGAGAACCACCTACATCCTGGCATGTGGCCCCAATTAGAACGTTGGGTCTGCGCTTAACCGCCATGGCGGTCTCTGTTCGGCCTGCAAAGGGCTGGGACAACCATCCTCTGAGCGGTGTTCGTACAATTGTTCAGACGCTACTCGCTCCATGGGTTTTAGGTCCAGGTCCCGCTCTCTATTCACCAACCTTAAAACATGGCCGCCATCTCGTGTTTGGGACAAAAAGGCACAAAAGGACTTTGTATTGAAGAGACTGGCTATATCGTTCTTGAGATCTGAGCGCTATTCGCCTATCTGCTGCGCTCAAATCTGGGCTATCTAACGAATGGTGGAATGCAAGATGTGTCTATTAAAATGTTATAGTTATATATTTTTATACTGTTTTATATGTTACAATAAAATGTGGGATTTTGGGCGCTTGGAGACAATTACATTGCCATAACCGTTAGAGTCATTATCTCCAAGCTGGGTGGTGACTATTTCAAACGATACACTGTAATGCCATTGGTCAACTGTTTGTATTTTCCATGTATCCCATCAGGTCCAGAGGGGGCTGTGCCTGGACCTGGGGTTTTGCATAAATAGCGATGCCTGTGTGCCATTAAACTCAGTTCGTTTTGACCCTCAAATCGCAACCTCGACTCGTTTTGTGGGAACAAGGGCATCCTAGCTGTGCCATAGCTAGTGGGATTGCTTTATATTCACAGGATTCTTGTGGTATGCTGAACGGAACAGCGCTTCTCTCGCTACACACTCGAGAACCAGGACATCCAAGCGGTCCAGCCTTCAGCTAGCTTGGAGATAACCGTAACAGTTGGTGGCAGCGGTGGGATCGTCCTGGAATTCCTAGGAGAGGTACAGAGCGGATGGAGAGCGCTTCTGACAAGCTGAAACGCACCACGTTAAAGGATCTGCTAGAAAGCCGAGTTGGGAACGTTAGCAACCGACCTAGGTGGGAGCTGATCGCAGAGCTGATGGAACTGAATCAAAGCCTGACAACGACGGAGGCTCCGATGTCTGCTAGCGAAGAAAAGAACAGGATTGTCCAGGAGAGGCTCTCCTGGTTCGGCCCGAACCAGACTGTGGAATTAATACAGCAAACCGTGGCACAAGTGGACGTGGAGATCTGAGAGGCCAGAGCACACGAGCTCAGCCTGTGCACCCCCCAGCAAAACCCCGCTGCAGGGATGACAACTAACCCGGCAGAGAGGACTGGGAAGCCAAAAATCCCCCATGCAGTGTTCCGATCATTCCTAGAAAATGAGATGGGGATCAACGAATATCTGGCCAACTTTGAGAGGCAGTATTGAATACCCAGCGAGGACTGGCCCACCATATTATCGGGGAAACTGTCGGGAAGAGCCCTGGATGCTTTCCGGACACTGTCTTCCGAGGACTCAATATGACCGGGTTAAAGACACCTTGTTACAACAGTATGAAGTAACCCCAGATACTTATCGCAGGCAATTTAGGAACACTGAGAAAAAGCCAAACGATACGCATACCGAATGGGCTCATAGGATGAGGAGGGCAACCAATCACTGGATGAAAGGATGCCAATCCATAACGGGGGGAGGAGGTGTTACAATTATTTCTTTTGGAACATTTTTACAATGGCTTAGATCAACAGTGCAAGGAATGGCTTTGTGATCGTAGACCCACTACCCTCACAGAGGCCGCTAGGTTAGCTGATGAACATCGTGATTCACGGTTACACGAAAGTAACAACTACTGACCAACAATTCATTCCGAAAGCCGGGAGAACTACCGAACAATGTCCCGACCTGACTTCAGGGCTCCAGTGCCAGCAGGACCTACCAGGCACCCCAGACCTCCCAGTAGCAACACTGCAGAACGTCCACGACCAGCCTGTTTCCGGTGCAAGCAACTGGGGCATCTCATGGCGAATTGCCCTCTCAACAATCACCACCAAACCCCCCGGAATTACAATAACCCTAGAAGGAGCGCTCGTTCAAGCATGGTTTTGCGCCCTTTCTTCTGTTTGGGTGGCGAAACCTTTCTCGTTCCTGGGCGATGATTGGTGCAGCAGAGTTTTGCTGCCTTTCTTTGGATTTGGTGGTGAAATTCCTTCTTCCCCAAGCACTGATTAGTGTGATTTGGTTTAGCACCCTTTCAGATGATTGGTTGTTGCTTGGTTTAGGTGCAAAGTTTGAATTTGCCAGACTAAACCCAGCAACACCATGAAAATAATTTCGGGGATGGACAGAGCCTCGAGCCCCAGATTTTCTATGCTGGTATCTCGGGCTTTGTACAGCCGATCACCTTGCTTTTTGCAGGGATCCCAGATGGGATCTGGGGCTCTATAGTCCCAAAGTGTACCCCCCTGAATGTAATGTAATCTATCTAGATAGATAGATGTATTATAGATAGGGCTTGCCAAATTTGCTTGGAATCTAGCAGCAAGCTAAAAAAAGTTAGGAGCAGTGCCGGGCTGGGAAACAGATTCGGCCCGGGCATTTTTCAATCACAGCGGCCCCCTGAGAAAGGAGCGGGGCAAGAGAGGGTGTGTTTTGTCATCACTAATGACAAGCACGCCCCCTCTCAAAGTGAGCATGTTACCGTAGTTCAAAACGAAAAAGGCCCTGTATTTGTTCTGCTCAGCGCAAGCAAATTTAATAACATGCTTGCGCTGTGTTTGCTTTTAACTTGTCTCTGGTGTCTCCATAAGTGGGATACCAGAGGACAAAATGGCCAGAAAAGCGTATGGTGCATGTGTTTGGAGCCTGCTTGTGGGATTGCGTGTGTGTAGAGTAAGCTGATTGTGGTGTGGTATTGTGTAAATTTAATTTGTGTTTGTGATGTAATATCTGTGGCTAGGGGCTGTACAGAGTGTGTGTATAGGGGATGTAGTGAGTGTGTTCATATGGTCTGTAGTGTGTAGGGGTTGTAGAGAGTGTGTGTTTAGAGAATGTAGTATGTGTTTGCTTACAAGGAATGTAGTGTGTGCATAGGGGATCCAGAATTTGTATGTCAGGAATGTAGTGTGTGTAGGTTGTGCAGTGTGTGTAGGGGATCTTGTGTGTTAAGGACCCAGAGTGTGTATAGGAGATTGTGTGTGTGTGTGTGTAAAGAGGATTCAGAGTGTATATAGGGTAAGGGATATAGCGTGTATCTGGAGCATAATGTGTGTAGTGGTACAGTATGAGGGGTGTTCTTATCTACTGTCACATTTTATGTTTCTAATTTTTTTGTCTGTTAACTTACTTAGGGTTGTTTTGTATATTATACATACGTGTGTGTGTGTGTGTGTGTGTGTGTGTGTGCTGTATATGTGTGAGAGTGTGTTGTATGACTGAGGGTGATGTGTGTGTGTGAGGGTGCGTGTGTATCTAAGAGTGTCTGAGTCTGAGTGTGCTGTTTGTATGAGTGTGCTGTGTGTGTCTGAGGGTGCTGTGTGAGTGAGGGTGCTGTCTGTGTCTGAGGGTTGTGTGTGAGTTAGGGTGCTGTGTGTGTCTGAGGGTGCTGTGTGAGTTAGGGTGCTGTGTGCGTGTGTGAGGGTGCTGTCTGTCTGTGTGTGTGTGTGTGTGTGTATGTGTGTGTGTGTGGGTGCTGTCTGTGTCTGAGGGTGTTGTGTAAGTGAGGGTGCTGTCCGTGTCTGAGAGTGCTGTTTGTGTGAGTGTGCTGTGTGTGTCTGAGGGTGCTGTCTGAGAGTGCTTGTTACGATTGCCTCCGGTCTAGCAGGAGGTTGGATTACTTGGATGTCCTGGTTCCCGAAGTCAGAGAGTCGAACGAGATTCCATTCAGTAGAAACCTGTAAATGTAGAGTATCCCACTAGCTGGAGCAACGCTAGGATTCCCGGATCCCTACAACACAAGTCGAGGCTGCGAGTTGAGGGTAAAACGAACTGGCTTTACTGGCACACAAGCATGGCAATTTATGCAAGTCCCCAGGTCCAGGGACAGCCCCCCATGGACCTGTACAAGTATTTGACCAATCACAGTACAATGTATCTTTCAAACTAATACCCACCCAGCTTGGAGATAATGAGGCCAACGGTTATACAATCTAATTATCTCCAAGCACCCAAAAGACCATGCTTTATTACGTTCCAGCAAACAGTATAAAAATATATAACTTATAAGTTATAAGACGAATATAGTTCATTCCATGCATCATTCAGTAGCTCAGATCTGGATGCATTGAGTGTACGAATTGCGCCCAGATCCCGCTAACGGAACGGGAGGTTTCTGCTATAGAAAGTCTTGTTCGGTAGTTGGATTTAAAGCCCTCAATGGCGGCCATGTTTTTAGGTCCGTCAATGGACAGCGGGACCTCGACTCTGTACTCATGGAGCGGAGGTCTTGTACATAGTCACACGAATCCCCGCTACCAGTCTGGTTGTCCCAGCCGTTCGGGATACGAACAGAGACCGCCCGGGATGGGTACTTAACCGCAAGATGAACATTCTAATCGATGCCACACGCCCATTCGTGAGTATTTGGTAGTTTCTCTTCGGGTACTCGTATGCGAATGGGGTACCCCTTGGGACCGTTAATTACTTTGTGGTTAACCGCAGACCGCAACGCCTGGTGGGGTTAATGAGCGGCACACTCCACTCGCGGGGTGGTCGGCCGTTCGGTACTTCGCGGGGTGACGAGGTTAAGTGGCGGCACACGCCAAGGGCTGGGTGTTCGGTTGTTCACATCGACGAATGAGGCTTATAACACTTCGTGTGATCCATTCGCATGGCCTGAATGCCGGTAAAATAGGGTTTTAAGTAGAGGCAGAGTATAACAATATAACGGGTCGTTGTAACAGGGTCTTTGCAATAGTGCTCTTAGTGTGAGTGTAAATAGCACAAATAGCACAGTGTTTATATAAATATTATTTTTTTTTTGTATTTTAAAAAACAAAAACTATGTATCCCCCCTCCCTTCTTACCTTTAGCCTGGGAGGGAGGGGGGAAGCCAGGTTTCCATGGAGAGGTGCCGTGCTGCCTTCCCTGGTGGTCCTAGTGGTGAGAGTGAACTCTAGCCAACATTCAGACCTCGCGAGAGGACCCGGAGGAGCTGCTAGCTAGAGCTCCCCGGGTCCTCTCCTGCCTCCCTCCTTCCCCAGGTGTCGGCCGCATATTAGTGCCTCTCAGCCGGTGAGGGAGATCTTTGACTCAGATAGCGCTGGCCCTGCAGGGGCTTGCCAGGGGAAATCCCCACCGAGCATTTGCCCGGTATGCCCGATGGCCAGTCAGGGCCTGAATAGGAGCCAGTTTTTTTTTTTTTTTAAACTAATTGTTTCATTCTTAAATGGACACTATAGTCACCAGAACCACTACAGCTTACAGGGAATCTATAGTGTGAGGAAACTTGTTTTCCTGGCACTATAGCTTCCACCTTTGTCAAGCCCTTCCCCCCTCGATGGTGCAGAAGGGGTTAATAGTCACTTACCTGGGTCCAGCACCAATATCCCTCAGCTCCGCCCACACCCCACCGACATCTGCCAGCATGGGAGACCTAATGCGAATGTGCGGCAATGGCCGCGCTCACATTAGGATTTCCCCAGAGTAAAGCATTATTCAATGCTTTCCCTATGGGGATTCCGTGACGCTGGAAGTCTTCATGCAGATTGTGAGTCTGTCCAGTGTCAGTTAGGCGAACAAAAGTCACCTAACGATCCGGAAGTCCCTCTAGTGGCTGTCTCAGGGTTAAGTGTGATGGGAGTTTGCACCCAGACCACTTCAATGAGCTGAAGTGGTCTGGGTGCCTACAGTGTCCCTTTAATGTAGTGAATTTGCTGTATATAGCCTGCCCCTGCATGCTTTTCAATGTATACACTGCTTTTTCAGAGAAAAGGCAGTGTTTATATTGCTGCCTAGTAATACCTCTAGTGACGGTCACTCAGACACCACTTGAGGTGATACCTAGACTAATGCTGCACAGTGTGCCACACCTATGTTCAGTGTCTCTACACTCTCTATGGAGGCACTAAATGTTCCCCACAGAGATGAAATGATTTAATGAGGAGATGCTGATTGATTTTGCTGCATGTGCTAAAGCCTCCCAATTCTTTTCTATGAGAAAGCATTGGCCTGGCTGAACTTATCAAGATTTATTATTTCAGCCATAAAGGTGGGGCCAGCCATGTTAAGACAGGCATGTTGTGGGGAAAAAGGTGAGTAAAAACACCTTTCCCATGCAATAGGAGGGGCGGGGGTGGTCACCAAACCAGACACACTCACTGCAGGATACACACACTCACTGACAGAAACACACTAAGACAAATTGGCTTTCCCTGGGGTCCAGTGCAACTGCTGTGAGCCTGTAATCTTGCTGCTCTTCTTGCTCTGCTGCCTTGCAAATCCTGCAGTGATACCAGGTGCCAGAATATAACCTCACCTGGCCCTACATCACCTTGCTTCTGGGATTTGCTGTGGCCTGGAGTTGTGGGAGGGTCTACCTGGATATTTAAACTCAGGCAGCCCCCTTATCTGGGCCATGGCTGATTGATAAATTTGTGACAAGGTTACCTGGCCACTTCCGGATCCATGCCACTGGGTGCAAAAAAACAAGCTGGCGATCCAATCCTCATATCTTGAAGACTTCCGATTCGCAGGTACATAGGCATTTGGCCACTAATAGCTCCATTCACTCTTAACTCGATATGAATTTGGAGGATACATTAAGGTATCACCATGCTCATTCAGCTCATTCATTATATCCCTGTTTGTTATGTTTTTGGAAGTATTTATCCAATTGCAGTTTAAACATCTGTTTGGAATCTGATAAAACCACCTCTTAAGGCAGAAAATTCCATATCCTTATTGCTTTTACTGTAAAAAAAAACAAAAAAACTTTTCTTTGCCTTAGATGAAATCTCCTTTCTTCCAGCCTAAATATGTGACCTGGTGTCATATGTATAGCCCTATTTATGAATAGATTTCCAGATAATGGTTTGTACCGGCCCTGAATATATTTGTATAATATTATCATATGCCTTCTGAGGCGCCGTTGTTCAAGACTGAAGAGATTTAAATGTTTTATTCGTAGGTTTTGTATTATCACATGTGCCATTATTCGGATATTTAGTGTGTTCGGTTTGAATTAAATGTGCCCCCTTTTCAGAAATAACAACGTGTATATATTTTATTAGTCGCATTTGCACATTCAAATGTCTATATTATGTTTTTCGGCCTTCATTCGGTTGTAACTATTTGCATTTGGCCTGAACACTTAGCTGGAGGCTTTCAACCCTCATTCAACCTTAATACACGTCTATTTTACTTTTAACGGCCTTTGGCTATAAAGTATGTGTGTGACACAGTACATTGAGCCCTTGTTGTCCAGATTCGCATTTTGCAGTGAATTATATTCTTCCCACATTCGACAATTAGGCATGTCGTATGGTATTCGGCTGCATTCGACCTCGTCGTATGTTTTATTAATCTTACATTCAGCCCTCATTTGGCATTTGACATACTTTGTCTGTTAATACTGGGCCTCAATTTGCCACAACAATTGCTCTGTTGTGAACAATAAAAACAGTGTACGTGAAATAATCCTGTCGGATATACAGATCTAAATACCAATAAGATAATACCATTATCATATAAACTTGAATCTGTAATAAAATATTAAAAATACATGGTGTAGTATATCAAGGTACAAAAGATAATATTAACATATGATAAAACACACACTTGCATATTGCTGAGTCAATCAGAAGCTGACTCAGACTTTAGAGCTATGTGTAAGTATCCTTGGATATGCGTCTGACCTTCTCTACTAATTAGCCCTGCTAATTTTTGCCACGCTCGGGCCAAGGTTATATGACTAGTTCAGATATAATACATGGCTATTATTATATGGCCATAGACTTTGGCTTTTATGGAATACATTGGGCCCACATTCGGCCATATAGTAGGTTGAATTATTCATATTCGGCCCTCACCTGACCATTTAGTATATTTGAATGCTTCATTTTCATCCCTCATTGGGCCATATAATATTGTGCCTATTCGGCTGCCATTTGGGTATTGTCATATTAGGCCCTCTTTCAGCCATATAGTATGTATGGTATTGGGCATATTTGGGCCTCATTTAGCCATATAATATGTTTATGTATTGTCCATATGTGGAAAAAACCGACCTCGCCACTGGGCATTGGAGAAGACTGATTGCCAGCCTCCTGCCATGTGATTATGGTCCCTGGAAGATCTGGCCCTTTAAATACAGTATTTGTGCATATTGTATTTTATTCTGCTGTTTCTGGCCATTTAAGTACTTTGGGAAAGGACCTGCAGTTTTGGCATGGCACTTCGGATGCAGTCAAAGTGTCGAAGTAGTCGAAGTGGCCACCATTAGAAAACCGAACACGTGGCGGCGGCCATTTTTATTCATTCGAATGCAGTCAGCAGTGTGTGCCGTGACACTCATGGAACTAAAATCGGCTACAGAACAGCACGAACACCGCTGAAGTTTTACCTTCCCTGGAACTAATGCATTCGACAGTTCGACAATTCAAATGCTTGTCGTTCGTCTGTTTGAACTGACACTAACATGGGAAATAGACCAGCCGCACAGCCTGATTCTCTGGAACTGTTTTGGGCATTAAAATGTGCTTGCGGTCGGTCATAAAAGGACTTCCAGCTAACTTTTTAACCCCTGGATGGAATTGGCTGAATTTTGACTATGTTTATAATTAAAGTGTGCTGAATAATATGTAATTTTTATGAAGATTGAATAAATATTTTTTTAAGTTCTAGTACGTGTGTAAAAACTGTATTTCTCTGCCTGCGATAATTAACCCATTGTGTAAGGTAATTGTATCAGAGGGGAGGATTTTGTGTGGGAGTGTCTGAGTGTATTGTACGTTTTGATTGGTTGTACTTCAAAACCCTGTGGTCGGTACTATTGTTGTAGAATGGGCATAAAAGCAGAGTGTTTGAATAAAAGTTCAGTTCTACTTCACCCTCAATTTGGAGTGCCGTCTCTTATTGGGGGAATCTGTAGAAGGGATTGCTATGCTCTGCATATTCCCTTGCTATAATCACTACTAAGTTCTTTTAAGAGCTTGTTCCTGTTTTGCTCACTGAAGGAGTGTACGGTGGTTATGGTGTCTGCTGGAGTGCTTGGAGCCTACAGGAAGCGCTAGAAGCATCCTTCGATGGAGGTACCCAGCCGGGGTGCCAGGTGATTCATTATACCTTATTCAGTCCTCATTCAACTATAGCTTTATATGTATTGCAATCATTACATTCGACCCTCATAAGGCTCTGCTGTTGGGTACATTTTAGGCATGCATTTTGCCCACGTTTGGCCATGTAAAGTATAATAAGGTACATATGGCATATCTATCATAAATGTTATTCGGCCCTCATTTGGTCGTCATGCTTACAGTCACAGAGACAATGGGTCTGGTTCATTGTTTCTTGTCTCATTTTAACTCATTTTAACTATGTTTACAAGTATACGATAATATTGCAGATAATATTGTAGCCTCACTATTAACCCCTTAAGGACGCAGCTTCAGAAGCTGGACATACCCTTAAGGACTCAAGCTATTTTTGCATTTTTTGCTGTTTGTGTTCAACTGCAAATTGCATCGCTCTCATTTATTGAATCAACACATATTATATATCGTTTTTTAAAGGACAAGATGGGCTTTACTTTGATGTGACTTATACATATATAAAATCTAATTTATTATTAAAAAACATTAAAAAAGAAAAAATATATATATTTTTCAAGAGTTTTGGCAATAATAGTTTGTGTATAATATGTCCAGCTTAGGAAAAGTAATTCAAAATAAATTCATTTAGGTTTCTTGTTTTTCAAAGTGCATAATATGTAAAGGATTTCAGCTTATTTTAAAAGTTACAGGTCACAAAATACAAGGAGTAATATAAAATTTAAATGTGAAAAAAATTTAGAAGTTGGTATGTTTGACTTGTAAGTTTGACAGCTGTCACAGAAAACAAAACTGCTACACAAAAGTATATATTTAAATAAAGAAGACATCACAGGCTATTTAGTTAAGGGTATTTTGACACTTTTTACATAGCCTTTTTCCCACCAATCTCTGCTACATATTGTAGTAAAATTGTGTTTTTTCTGTTTTTTGAAATACACACATGTAACAAGGTTTTTTAAATGTGTATTTTGTAAAGCTGCTGTGTGCTATTCCTGGTCAAAATCCCATTTTGTGTTCAGCAACATCTGCTGAGTACAACAATACCCCCATTGTATGCCTTTGCCACTATTTTGGGAAGCTACAATGAAATATAAGAGGCCAGACTATTTCAGTTTCTACAGTTAGAAAATTCAAAGATGGATTTAATGGACCTCGACTCTGTACTCATGGAGCGGAGGTCTTGTACATAGTCACACGAATCCCCGCTACCAGTCTGGTTGTCCCAGCCGTTCGGGATACGAACAGAGACCGCCCGGGACAGGTACTTAACCTGCGGTTAACCGCAAGATGAACGTTCTAATCGATGCCACACGCCCATTCGTGAGTATTTGGTAGTTTCTCTTCGGGTACTCGTATGCGAATGGGGTACCCCTTGGGACCGTTAATTACTTTGTGGTTAACCGCAGACCGCAACGCCTGGTGGGGTTAATGAGCGGCACACTCCACTCGTGGGGTGGTCGGCCGTTCGGTACTTCGCGGGGTGACGAGGTTAAGTGGCAGCACACGCCAAGGGCAGGGTGGTCGGTCGTTCACATCGACGAATGAGGCTTATAACACTTCGTGTGATCCATTCGCATGGCCTGAATGCCGGTAAAATAGGGTTTTAAGTAGAGGCAGAGTATAACAATATAACGGGTTGTTGTAACAGGGTCTTTGCAATAGTGCTCTTAGTGTGAGTGTAAATAGCACAGTGTTTATACAAATATAATTTTTTTTTTTGTATTTTAAAAAACAAAAACTATGTATCCCCCCTCCCTTCTTACCTTTAGCCTGGGAGGGAGGGGGGAAGCCAGGTTTCCATGGAGAGGTGCCACCGTGCTGCCTTCCCTGGTGGTCCTAGTGGTGAGAGTGAACTCTAGCCAACGTTCAGACCTCGCGAGAGGACCCGGAGGAGCTGCTAGCTAGAGCTCCCTGGGTCCTCTCCTGCCTCCCTCCTTCCCCAGGTGTCGGTCGCATATTAGTGCCTCTCAGCCGGTGAGGGAGATCTTTGACTCGGATAGCGCTGGCCCTGCAGGGGCTTGCCAGGGGAAATCCCCACCGGGCATTTGCCCGGTATGCCCGATGGCCAGTCAGGGCCTGAATAGGAGCCAGTTTTTTTTTTTTTTTTAAACTAATTGTTTCATTCTTAAAGAGACACTATAGTCACCAGAACCACTACAGCTTACAGGGAATCTATAGTGTGAGGAAACTTGTTTTCCTGGCACTATAGCTTCCCCCTTTGTCAAGCCCTTCCCCCCTCGATGGTGCAGAAGGGGTTAATAGTCACTTACCTGGGTCCAGCACCAATATCCCTCAGCTCCGCCCACACCCCACCGACATCTGCCAGCATGGGAGACCTAAAGTGAATGTGCGGCAATGGCCGCGCTCACATCCCATTTTGTGTTCAGCAACATCTGCTGAGTACAACAATACCCCCATTGTATGCCTTTGCCACTATTTTGGGAAGCTACAATGAAATATAAGAGGCCAGACTATTTCAGTTTCTACAGTTAGAAAATTCAAAGATGGATTTAATGGACCTATGTCTTATTTTGGGGCATTATAGTAGTTTGGTTGTTCAAATGACCACACAAAGGCCTTCCATTCGTGAAAGTAGACACTCCATGGTATCTCATATGGCATATATTTTGCCTTAACGGGTCACCATTTATTCACCATTATATGTCAAAATTTGTGTTAAAAAATATTTTCCGCATTTTTTCCTTAAGCATTACATTTGTGCTGGGCATTTTGTATATTTGATATGTTCCACTATGGTCAAACACCCCTAATTATGCTCAGCTTAATCTTCTGAGTAAAACAATACCCCCAATGTATGTATTTGACACTATTTGGTGACGCTACAGTGCCATAAAGGAGACCTGACCATTTCAGTTTTTAGAGTAGAATTTTCAGAGACGAATTTGCAGGGCTTATGTTTCAATTTGGGCCATTATAGCAGTTTGACTGTTTGAAAAAAACGCAAAAAGGCCTACCATTTGTGAAAGTAGACACTCCAGGGTATCTCATATGGCATATATTGTGCCTTAACATGTCGCCATTTTTTCACCATTATATGTCAAAGTTTGTGGTAAAAAAATATTTTTCGCATTTTTTCCTTAAGCATTACATTTGTGCTGGGCATTTTGTATATTTGATATGTTCCACTATGATCAAACACCCCTAATTATGCTCAGCTAAGTCTTCTGAGTAAAACAATACCCCCAATGTATGTATTTGACACTATTTGGTGACGCTACAGTGCCATAAAGGAGACCTGACCATTTCAGTTTTTAGAGTAGAATTTTGAGAGACGGATTTGCAGGGCTTATGTTTCAGTTTGGGCCATTATAGCAGTTTGACTGTTTCAATAACCACAAAAAGGCCTACCATTTGTAAAAGTAGACACTCCAGGGTATCTCATGTGGCATATATTGTGCCTTAACATGTCACCATTTTTTCGCCATTATATGTCAAAGTTTGTGGTAAAAAAATATTTTTTGCAGTTTTTTCGTTAAGCATTACATTTGTGCTGGGCATTTTGTATATTTGATATGTTCCACTATGATCAAACACCCCTAATTATGCTCAGCTAAGTTTTCTGAGTAAAAAAATTCCCCCAATGTATGTCTTTGACACTATTTGGTGACGCTACAGTGCCATAAAGGAGACCTGACCATTTCAGTTTTTAGAGTAGAATTTTGAGAGACGGATTTGCAGGGCTTATGTTTCAATTTGGGCCATTATAGCAGTTTGACTGTTTCAAAAACCGCAAAAAGGCCTACCATTTGTGAAAGTAGACACTCCAGAGTATCTCATATGGCATATATTGTGCCTTAACATGTCGCCATTTTTTCACCATGATATGTCAAAGTTTGTGGTAAAAAAATATTTTTCACATTTTTAACTTATGCGTTACATTTGTGCTGGGCATTTTGTATATTTGATATGTTCCAATATGATCAAACAACCTAAATTATGCTGAGCTATCTCCTGTGAGTAAAACTATACCCCCAATGTATGCCTTTAGTCGTATTTCCTGACGCTACGCTGCCATATAGGAGACCTGACCATTTCAGTTTTTACAGAATTTTATAGGTTTATGACTCATTTTGGGTTCTAATAGCAGGTTGCTTATTCAAACTTTCCCCACAAAGGCCTACCATTTTTTAAAGTAGACACCCCAGGGTATTTCAAAAGGCCCATTTTGAACCTTAGGGTGGAATCATTTTTTCGCTAGTGAGTACCAAGTCTAGTAGTAGTAAGCATTTTCTCTGCCTTTTTGACACACACTGAGATTTTACTGCATAGTTTACAATCCTTAGGTGTGCTACGGCAGTATAACGCTTCATATGTCACTCAGCTATGTCGTCTGAGTACAGCAATACCCCTGTGTGTACCTTTCCCAGGTATATGTGGATGTTGGAGGGGCAAATTTGAGACTCTGCAATTTCAGGTCTGTTTCAAACTTGGGGTTTGGGTCAAACTCTGAGGCACTGTCTGTCACCTCTGAATCCGCTGTCAGAATTCTCTAACTGTACTTCCTAAGCATTTTAAACTTTTTACACAAGAACTTTAACAAAACAATGTTATTTTATTTTTTTGTTGTTTTTTTTTTAAATTTGTATTTCTACCCCTAGCATACGCACTAAACTCCCCAATTTCCCAGGAACTATCATCCACCCCAATTAACTAAATAAAAGGTAATATATATATATATAGTCAGTGGTTAAATAACAGAAGAACTACAACAAGAATATTAATTGTATTGAGAATTTATTGGCTCTGAGTATGAAATAATTTAAAACAGTTCCCAATACAAAGGCCAGGCTGAGAGGGACAATCAGGGCAGTAGAAACTGGTCTCCGTTCGAATGCCTCTCTGGTAACACAGCCTGCACCTTTTCTGGGGGGTCTTTTTTTGGGGGGTTGGTGGAATCCGAAAGCAGAAGTGACCTGTCTGAATATCTCTGCTGCTAGGCCCTGCTGATGGCTCCCCACTGTGGCACTCAGTGAGCAGCACAGAAATGAGCTGAAACTGAAATGTAAGAAAAGTACATTTCAGCTGAGGATTTGACTTTTTGAAAAGGATGAATGCATTGTGAGTAGCCATTTGCATTAAATAAATGCCCACTTTCTTATACCAGGCCCTGGTCTTTCTCATTATCAGATATGGCTGCAGCAGTTGATCAGACAGGTCAACTCCCCTCATGTGTTTATTGTATTGCTTAATGCAGACAGGCAGCCGTCTTGTTTCCTGTCTGCCACGAACTGTGTTCACTGTGCATGGTAGTCAGTATGAACACCTCCTTTTTGTCTCTGTATTTCAGAGCCAGCAGTTCGTCCTGGCATAGAGCAGCCGTTTCCCCCTTTTTAATTTTTTTCTCTGCCAGAGCCTTGCGGATAGTGCCGCAGACCACAGTCTCAAAACAATATAGCATTTTTTGGAGGGGTATGCTCTTGTAATAATTATCAAGGTAGAGGTGGTACCCCTTGTTCAGTAGCGGGTTCATTAGATCCCAAACTATTTTTCCGCTAGTCCCAACTATCAGGGCAACCTGGGGGATCCCGGTGGCTATCTTTAACTTCATATATTCTGAAGGTATAAACATACCCACTGCTACTTTCACATAACTTGTATAGCTTGATGCCATACCGGGATCTTTTGGCTGGGATGTATTGCTTGAACCCCAGTCTACCCTTGTATTTCATTAGGGACTCGTCAATACATATATTCTTTTGGGGAGTATAAATTATGCCAAATTCTTTATTAAAATGGTTAATTAGGGGGCGGATTTTATAGAGTTTGTCATACTGCGGATGATCTTTGGGGTGGCACTTCGAGTTATCATTGAAGTGCTGAAAACGCAGTACTGTTTCGTATCTGGGCCTACTCATGGTCTGAGAGAAAATGGGAGTATTGCATACTGGGTTTTTGGACCAGTACATTCGGATGCTGGGCTTTTTTATAATTCCCATTAGCATGGTTAGTGCCCAGAACTGTTTTAACTCTGGCACACTGGTGGGGTACCAGTTCCCTTTTGTGGCAAGGTGACTTGTTGCATTTTGTGCCAGATACTGCGCTGCATAAATATTTGTTTGTGTAACTATCTGCCCTAAAAAATCATCCCCAAGGAACAGCTCCATAAAGTTATAGCTGGTCACGTCTCCCTGAATACCAGGAGTCGCAGTGAACAGAGGGATGTCGGGGACAAAATTGTTAGGGGGCACCCAGATATCAGCGCCAGGAGCAGTGCCAGGGGTATCGTCACTTTCTTCATCTGTGTCTGGCACATAGTCACCCTCTGCACTCTCTGAGGCAGTGTCCGTTGCCTCTGAGTCGGCTGCTAATATATTATATGCCTCCTCGGCACTAATCATTCTAAGCATGGTGAAAGCTTAAAATTAACTTTAACTAAATAACGTATTTTTTTGTTTTGTTTTTTTTACTTTTTTTTATACTTTTTTTTGTTTTCTGAACTTTTTTTAATACTTTTTTTTACTTTTTTAAAACTCTTAAAAACTTTCTAAAACTTCTAAAAACTTTTTAAAAAATGAACCCCTGTGGGTAAAAACAGGAATCAGATCAACGTGCTTACACCTAGCAAAGCAGAAATGCTTTGACTTAAAATAAACTACTTTTTTTTCTCTTTTTTCCTTTTTTCACTTTTTTGTTATACTTTTATAAACTTTTACAAACTTTTAATAACTTTCTAAAACTTTTCAGCTTCCTAGCTACACTAATGCTAGATTCCCCAATTCCCCCTAGCTTCAATCCACCCCAGCTAACTAATTAACTGAAAATAATAGTAAAACATTTTTTTTTTAATATATTTAACCCCTGAGGGTCAAAAAGAAAATAAAGTTAACCCCTGAGGGATCAAAGGGATCAAACCCAGTGATCAAAGGGTTAAACCCTTGTTAATTTTCACAGGTAAAGGAGTTAAAAAACATTTTTTAAACTTTTAAACACTTTGTGTATGTCAGGGACACAAAGTTTCAAACGATCCGTCTCTCTCCACTTCTACACACACACAGAGGTGGAGGGAGGAGGATCAGAATTCCCAGCAGCACTGTGATCACTGTGACTGGCTGTCACAGTGATCACATGTGCTGGGACAGCGCTACTGGCTGTTGCTGGGCTTCCTCAAACGCCGAGGTACCCAGCAACAGTGTTAACCCCACGACCGCCACGATCGCGGCGATCTGGCGTTAACTTTAGTAATTGACGGAAATTTTCCGTCAAGCGTCCTTAAGGGTAGGTCTGCCTTGACGGAAAATTTCCGTCCAGCGTCGTTAAGGGGTTAAGCTTTAGTTCCATGTAGATATATACACACACTTTTTAGGCATGTCAGCTGCTGTATACTGCGGTTACTACACTTGAATACTTATTAGCATTAGCCACCCCGGTTCTTACCCTCATACAGTAAATTTAAATTATGATACTTGAATACCTTGCTTACACAGGAGTTCATGACTATGATTATGTTTTAATTATAGGCAATATTCTGTTGCTTATCACAGTCTAGTTACAACAAAGCTGGCGATAATTGCTTTGGGAAAGCGTTGGACTAGCAATAAGGCTATTCCTGTTATATGTGCACAAAATTATTATTGTCATGCCCTTGGAGTTTAGTTATTCATTAGTCAGTCACATACTTTATTGATATTCTTATTATTTAGGTTCACTGCACTTGACTCTCACTTATTCGGATAATCATGAGCATGGCCAGTGCAAGGATTTTTGACGCCTTAGGCAAAAAAAAAAATGTTGCTTCTCTTTTTACTCCACCCACCCATGCAGACTGACAGACACAAACACACACTGACTCAAGCAAACATACACTGACCCAAGCAGACTGACACACACACTGACCTGTGCTCTGACTGATGCCCACTTGGACCTATGCAGACACACACTGACCGATGCAGACAGATACACTGCCATTAGTCCTCTCAAAGCACAAGTGGTGAAGGGCACTTCATCACACATCTCCCCTTTGGGGGGGAGACTAGCCAGGTACCTGACCTTCTGTCGGTCAGTGCCTGAGTTAGTCGAATAGCCCACCCACAAAATACAGTTGAAGGAGTAGCCCACCCACAAAAAACAGTTACCACATCTGGTGATTCCTGGTGTTCGGCTTGGGCCTGTATGTCCCAGGTTGCTGAGTGGTGATTCAGCACCCTTGACCTCACTGATGTTCCTAGACGTGGAGCTGGGAGTACTTGGTGGGCAGAGGCAAGCTGCGCTCTGCCCAGATGCCAGTGCTTCTGCTGGGGGGACGGGTACACAAACCTATCCTGTTAGGGGACAGGGAGGAAAGAGGCTTGCAGCGTTCTGCCCGGTTGCCAGCGCTTCTGCTGGTGTAGCCTGCAAAAAGTCAGGCTCTGTAAAAGGAGAAACGGGAGGGCAGAGGCTAACTGCGCTCTGCCCAGCTGCCAGCTCTTCCACTGGAGGGACCGGGGCATAGCCCTGCACGGTAGCAAGGGGAAGATTGGGGCAGAGGCCAGCGGTGTTCTGCCCACTCCAAGGACTCTTGCCGTATCCCATCTTTCCAGGCCAGCTCCTCCTCGGCTGAAATAGGGCCACACTCTTGGGCCAAGGCATTTTGTAGTCTCCAGAGGAACTCTTCCTCATAGGGTGACGCTGCCCGGGAGCTAGCTCGCTCCATTCCCCTGAGGTCATCTGAAGCCAGCCATAATGTTACCGGTGTCTTCTAGGGTGCTGCTCCTCGCACTAGGATGCCATCCCACCGCTGCCACCACTGTGATGGACACCCCCGCCATGGATGCTCCTAGCGCTTCTCAAGGACCATCAGCACCGCACTTGGCACCACAGACTCAACAAAACTTGGTTGGGATTTCGCTGTCTCCTCCCCACCCTGGGACTCCAACCGAAGGAGAGTATGGGAAGGACCTCTCCTTCAAGAGGGTATAGCTGGGTCTCTCCTCCAAGAGAGTATAGCTGAAGGGAGCTATTACAAGAGCTAGCAGTGATATAGCTGGTATAGCTGTTCCGTACAACAAGAGACAAGGCTACAAGTTGAGGGTAAGAAGATCTGGTTTATTGAGTGCAAGGGGCATTTCTTTATACAGTTTTCCCCACAAGGTTACCACCACCTTGTTGGGCACCAAAAACACAAACTTAACAACCAATAATTTACAGACACACAGTTAAACACTCCCATTCATTACTGTAACATCCCTCCCCTCTGCTTGGGAGATAATTGAGTTAATTGCTGTATCAACTCAATTATCTCCAAGCAAAAAAAATATACTTTTTACACAATTTTTATAACTCCAAAATTATACATTCAATCCCAATAAAAGTTAAATTTTCAGAACCAGCATACTTAGGGGACAAACATCATGCGAATTGGTCCAGTGGTTCGGGAGATAGCTGGAAGTCCCATTTTGACTGACCGCACGCACGCACATTTTCATGCCCTAAACAGTTCCAGAGATTCGGGCTGTGCGGCCGCTCCATTCACCTTAGTTCAAATACTGTTGAAATGCATGAACAGGGGCCATTCGTGAAAATAGCAATGTTAATGTGGCGTTCGTATTGTCGAACAACGTTCTACTCCATACGAACTGTTGAAGTTTCAGAGAAGGTAGAAGTTCAGAGGTGTTCGTGCCATTGCATATCCGTTTTCAGTTCCATGAACCAAACACCACTGAACGCGTTCGACTGAATTAAAATGGCCACCGCCACTTGTTCGTTTGTCGAATGGCGGCCACTTCAACTACTTCGGCTGTATCTGAAGTGCCAGTTCAAAAGTGCAGATTCTTTCCCATAGGATTTAAAGTTCCAGCCACAGTGTTTTAGAATCCAATTTGCACAAATTGAGTTTTTCACTGGCAATACACCCCAGGGGCCATAGTCACAAGGCAAAAGGCTAGCCATTAATCCTCTCCAAGCACAAGTGGCAAAGGGCACTTCGTCATACAGATTAAAGCTTTTTTTGTTTTTGTATGAGTTTAACTAGATAATTTCTCCTTATCTAGAAATATCTGACAAGTAGTTTGGGTAATTGTGCTAATCAGCAATTAATTGACTAATTCCCTATTTTAGGATACACTCTGATTTATTTTCAAGTTTTTGGTTAAACCTTAGGGGTTACCCCCATCA